AATAATAATAATAATAATATTTAAAAACGGTACAACTTTTGAACATTGCTGCAGACACATTGTTTGACTGATAATTGAATCAGAACACATTTAGCCTTACTTTAGCTAATTAGCTTTAGACAGATTATAAATTTATCTATCAGTACAAAATTATAAAGAGGCTGATATTGTGCAGAATTTTTCTGTGGCGTTTCAAAACCTTTTACAGCAATTACCTGATAATATCCAAATTATGTAATTAAATAAAACCTAAATTCATAAATGACATTCATCTGTGCACCACAAAGCAAAGTGAAAACAGCCTGCAAGCAAAAGTCATCTTTGTGGTTGTATTTCTCTTGTAATCATTTCTCTCAGTCTGTAAATCATTCCTCACTTGAAGTGAAAAATCTCTTCAAAACTAAATTTCTGACAGCAAACCAAATGCAAACCCTGAAATCCTGGTACTAACATTCTTGTTGTACGTTAAATCGTAGCCTATTAACAAGCTATTTCTCCACCCTATATTCTGTATGTCTATAATCAGACACTGAGATTTTAAGAGCAGTTAAAAACAGTCATCACGGTGCACCACTTCCTGTGCTGGGGAGGACATCCCTCAGGCTGAATGTTGGCGAGAAGGATGTTTCTCTGTGCAGGCACACACTCAGAGAGGGAACCGTAGGTGAGTCAACAGTTAAAATATTCACCAGGTTTTCATGAATCTTTTATAGCCCAGTACCACAGCAAATATCCACCAACAGCCAGGATTAATATCTATCCCATCGGCTTTGAAGCCGCCACCGGACATGGTTCACTCAGCCTCGCTCAAAGGCTGGCATCAGGCATTCAGAAAGGGATGGGAAGGGAGTTACATAAAGATCTGCAGAACAGCCACTGCAATATTACAAAAACAAAGTCTTGTGGGCTGAAGGTAAATGGGGTCTGAAAGGTGCAACTCAGCACTGCAGTCAGCCATGCCCAAATGTTGACACTTTGCAAAGTCCAATTATAGTGGGCCTCTTCATCAGCTAACTCAAGCCCCGCTTCCTGCCACGTGAACAGGAGTCCACTAATATCTGTCGATCACTTCCTGAACCTGCCAGTTCTCACAGTCCTTGTCTTCCTGTGGTCGGCGTGTTGCCTCCCACCGCTTGTTTGTTAAGCTGTTGTATAACAGGAAAACCATTTTTAGTGCCAGAATGATGTGGGGGCAAGGACACTAGGTTAGGACTGCTGAACAATTCAGGTTTGTTCATTTATTTTAAAAGTTGTGGTATCATCTATCCACTGTACAACCTTTTAAAGGGATAGTACAGCCGGAAATGAAAATTTACTCAACCTCATACAGGTTTGGAAATTTAATTACCTAAAGATCAGAACTGCATGAGCATCATACTAAACAAAATTATAAATATGTCGTTACTCCACCGCATTTGATTTAAAGTGCCCCTATAGTGCGTAATAGCTGTATGTAAATTTAAACTATCTGCAAAGTTGTGAAGCCGAAAGCGCACGCTAAATAAAGTTATTGTCTCCCAGAAGAAAGAATCGACTCTGAACAGCCTAAACGAGATACCAGTAATTCGAATCCCACTTTGTGACGGCTACACGTCAAGGTGTAACACATTTGCATAACATAGCTTGTTCGTGTGTCCTACACTGTGAAGGTAAATTTGTTTTATTTTCACTTCCGATCCTCACTTGAAGTGAAAAATCTCTTCAAAACTAAATTTCTGACAGCAAACCAAATGCAAACCCTGAAATCCTGGTACTAACATTCTTGTTGTACGTTAAATCGTAGCCTATTAACAAGCTATTTCTCCACCCTATATTCTGTATGTCTATAATCAGACACTGAGATTTTAAGAGCAGTTAAAAACAGTCATCACGGTGCACCACTTCCTGTGCTGGGGAGGACATCCCTCAGGCTGAATGTTGGCGAGAAGGATGTTTCTCTGTGCAGGCACACACTCAGAGAGGGAACCGTAGGTGAGTCAACAGTTAAAATATTCACCAGGTTTTCATGAATCTTTTATAGCCCAGTACCACAGCAAATATCCACCAACAGCCGGGATTAATATCTATCCCATCGGCTTTGAAGCCGCCACCGGACATGGTTCACTCAGCCTCGCTCAAAGGCTGGCATCAGGCATTCAGAAAGGGATGGGAAGGGAGTTACATAAAGATCTGCAGAACAGCCACTGCAATATTACAAAAACAAAGTCTTGTGTGCTGAAGGTAAATGGGGTCTGAAAGGTGCAACTCAGCACTGCAGTCAGCCATGCCCAAATGT